TTAAAAAAAAAAAGACGGGCAGATAAAATTTGTTTTAACTTTGTTCTAGATTTTTAATTAATATTTCAATATCGCAGATTTCCACCTCTTGCCTTAATTACATCTCGAAGACGCCTCGGCATACTTTCTACCAGTCTGGAAATGTCCCTTTGCTGGAGGTTAGCCCATTCTTCACGAAGAGTCCATTCAAGTTCAGGAAGTGATGGACGTACTCTTATTCGTCTTTCGAGGTTATCCCATAAGCGTTCGATGGGGTTCAAATCTGAAGAACGGGCTGGCCAGGTTAAGGCCCTGATGCTATGCTGTTGAAGGTTCCTTTGTACTCTGCGAAGGACATGAGGATTATTTGAATTATCGTGCAATAGAAATGTCGCTGATTTCATCGAGGATAAGCAACGCATGATGTTCCAAAAATGTCATCCACATAGCGAGTGGCCGTCAAAGACCCTCCACGAACAACAACCAACTCTTTGCGACTCTCCATTGAAATTCCCGCCCACACCATCACTGAGCTACGTTGAAAAGGTTGGCTCTGGGAAAAATTACAGGCTTTGTACCTTTCATTTCGCCTTCTCCACACTCTTTCACGCCCGTCTGGAGATCGTACAGCAAATCTACCCTCATCTATAAAACGTACAGCAGACCAATCGTCCAAAGACCAATGTTCCAAGACCAATTCTCGAGCAAATACTGTGCCAATCTGTATGTAATGGACAATTCCGGTCCTCTTAAGGGACGAAAAGCCATCAGTCCATACTGATTTAATCTTCTTCGAGAAATGCGTTCAGAAATTTGGACACCTCGAACTTCCTGGAGCTGATGAATCACTTGAACAACAGTAAGGTGCTGGTTTCCCAAAATTCTCAAAGCCAAAAAACGGTCACCCTAGGGCATCCGAACCGGGCCTTCTATGGTAGGACTTAGTTTCTCGCAAACGTCTAACGGCGTTTCGCAGAGTTTCGTAGGGAACTCCGATGGCAATAGCTGCATACTAGATGGAACGACCATCACCAATAAGTGCCACACCACGCGCAACATCCTCAGCACTAAACGGCAGTTTTAAGTTTAAAAATCGACATTAAGAAAACTATGTTGATGAACACTATGTTTACTCAGAATTCAAATGAGACTGAATAAACATTTTAAATTCTGTAAAAATTAAACATTGAAAAAACTTTATCCTTGTTTTGGATTAAGGATTAAGTGGTTTATGTCTAATTGATATTCTCAATTTAAAGCATAACTTAAACAAATATTTATTGGTAAAAACAATGAGACAAATTAAGGGCAGAATTTTCTTTTATCGAGAAAATGAAAAAAACAATTGGGAGGAATTTTTTGCCTGTCAGGGTATGTATGACCCTAAGATACTCGATTTTTTCAAGGCCACCCATAGGGTCATTCGGGATGTCGTATTTCTTTCTTTACTGTCTATTATGTGTGCTCTACCTTGATTTCTCCTGCGTGGTCTCACCCCCATTATAAAGTTCATTGTGTGATATTGGTATGACATGTGCGCAACCTTGTAAGCATGACCATTTCCGTTCTAGACTCAGCCTCCGCAAGCCGAGAACCGATGCATTTTTTTTACATTTGTATAACTTGGACATACTTCTTTCGTTATAGCGGATTCTCCATTCGTTTATTATTGCATTAACAATTCTTTGTAAATCCACTGGTCGAACTGCGCGTGGTCTCGTGGCAAACTTCGCTGCCTTATCTATTTTTTCATTCCCGTTTATAACACATACATATTGTTCATCTTTAATTGCCACCGTTTTGTGCCTTAACTGCAACACTCGCCAATCATTCATTTTTGAGATAATTACAGTCGTTAACCATGAATAAAAACTATAACAAATATTTACCTTTTTTTATGTATACACAATTTTCTTTGGCGAGTTTGTTGCGCACATGGTTTTTGAAGATATCTGAAATCACCATTGACGTACCAGCAATTAATTTCAATTTATGCAGCTTTCTGTTAAAATTCCATGGGTTTTCAAACCAATACCATGAGCTTTAAAATAGCTTATTAATCTTAGGCGGACCCTACACCTACAATAATATTGACAACTCATAAACGCCAATGTTTCGGCATAGGCAAAACCTCGCGTTACAAGATGTCAAAGAGTAAGTAGCCGAGTGGTTAGCATGAGAGACTCTCACGCCGCGGTCGTGGGTTCGATTCCACCGTCGCCTCTGGCCCTTTTTTCCCGATAACCCCCAATTTGAACACACAAAGAATTCGTACCATGGCTAATATGCAAGATCATAAGGCCAATAAAAAAAAAATTAAAAAAAAAATTAATTAAAAAGAGTTAAGATTATTGCGCAATATCAACCCTACACGGCGAAATGAAAAAATAAGGTGCGATAAAAATGATATCATTTAAAAAATGATAATTTATCATTTCTATCTTTTCTATAAAAATGATATATAATTAAATTCGTTTGAACTTTTGTTCATTGATTGAACAAACTTCAGTACTATCCCTAAGCGGGTAAAAATATTGCGCGATTCGTAATATTGTGCAATATAATTAATTGATCGTCTAGCGCCCGCCTTAGTTAAATAATTTACGGAATAATTAACATTCTCGATCATTCCTATTTCTTTTCATCTAAAAATAAATTTACGAATCTAGCCACATTATGTTAAAATAATCCATGGATTTTTTTAAAGAAAAATTATACCTTTGACAATGACTTTTATCGATATATTTGGTTTTTAATGTAGTTTGTATCTGTTGTCATTCCAACCCCTTTTACTGAAAATAGGTGCGTTAAACGCCAAGCATTTTAAAGCTTATTTTATTTACTTTTCCCATCGGATTAAGTAACAATCGATATGCAGATGAAAAATCCGTATTTTGAGAAGCGTAACGACGAGATAACGCCGGAGATGTGTGCTCTTCTGTTTCCGCCGTGATGATAAATCAAATGGGGATAGGGTGCTAGCATTGCTTTATCGCTTCCAAGACAGGATTCATGCACATCCGTTTCCATTGGTCCATGAAAATTGAACATTATCGTCATTACCCCTACTGAACAGTGCACACATAACTTCACAATCATAAAACAGGTGTCCCATATCTCCTCTCAAATTTCCATATAAAGCACTAAAGTACTAGTTACAGTAGGAAAGTGAGACTAATTTCATTTATTGTTCGATTAACGAAATCTATAAACCAATTGCTAAATAAAAATATATTTAAATTCTCATTCTAACTAAATCTCTTAGAGAAGTTATTTGTACAATATTTGAAAATATTGTTATTAGGTAATAAATTTTTGCAATTAGAATTATTCTGTAACCAATGCTTTTTTTTATTTTAAGGATTTATTTATTAGGTCATGACCAATCATTTTCATCATTATCACTGGGTTTTGCCATTTACTATCTTCATGTGTCTGTGTATATCTTTGAATTTAACAAGTGGCAGACCACAAAATTAATTTACAGGTTCACATTTAAATTCAGTTGCAACTAATATACTTCTAGGGCTGTTCTCACACTGAAACAGACAATGTACAACTGTTGTCAGCTTTGGTACAGTCTTATGTTATCACATTAAAGCATACTTGTCGGAATCTTTTCATGTCATTCATACTTCATAGAAGGATGATGTGCTGTGGTTGCAGTGAATTTTGAGTAGATATCTAGTGCTTATAAATTAAATAATTGATTTTTGAAATACCCAAATTTGGACTTTGAATGCACTGCAAGATATATTATTCCCACAGAACTATAACTTCAATGACCTGTACAGAATGCGATGTGTAGAGAAGTCATTCATTTAGAAATTTCTGTTTGCTGTGAAGAACAATGATATTTATAAAGCCATCCTGAAATATATGCACAATGCAGAAATGTCAGTTGAAATTGATGAGCGTAATTATATGAAGTCATAGTAATTATTATTATTTATATTTGTGTTAGTAAAAACTGTCTAAGCTTGACCCATGTCAAAACCCATTTTTCAAGATGTAACAGGCAAATTTTTCTCAAGATGGTACAACATGCCAAAAACTGAAAAATATATTTGATCCCATATTCCATATTTTATCACTTATTCTGATTCTAGGATATGGACTTGGCCAATAGATCAGCAGTCCCAAAAAAATAGATCCAGCAGAGTTTGACTTTCTTTCATGTATCTAATTTGTTTAGTTTGGTTTCAATTCAGCACATTCTTGAGCTAATGCTGTTTGTAGTTAGCACATTGATGGTCGCTTGGCTTTCTGACATGATAGTTATATTATATTTATGTACCCTTTGTTCAGATTGAATTGGGTACATCTTTCAATTACATAGAACTGAGCTTGGAAGATACTAGTTTATTTTCCTGTGGGTTCTGAGTATTTGGTTCCAGGGACGAATACTCCTGCCCCCATATATTCTAGCATTCTAGATCTGACTAGTGTACAAGTAGATTGTGCCCTTCTTAAAGAAGATATTTTTCTCTCTTTCCCCATTTCTTTTTGGTACTTAAGTTTATTTTGAAATTTTGGCTAAACTCAAACATCCAATTCATGTCGTCTGGTGAGGCCATGAGTATCGGCTGGTGTTTCCTTACATTATTACTATTTCTCCAGTTTAGTTTTATTCCTATTGAAGGTTTCTCTTTAATAGTAATAAGGTTTTCTGTGCAGTTCTCATCATCATCTGGTGGAGGGAGTTTAATCCCAGAATCTTTTCCATACCAGATGTACGACATGTTCTCTTGGCTCCCATTATACAAATGTATGCAAGTCTGTATTTTCGTGAGTTCTTTTCGTTTCCTTATTTGTTCTACTTTATCGACCCAGACTATGGGGCAATATGAGAGAATAGGTCTCACCATCATGGTGTACGTACAAAGCAGGGTTTCAGGCCAGCATCCTAGTGTTTCCTGCTATTTTTCCGCACACCATTAAGGCTCATGCCCTTTCTTGATGGTAGAGCTGATATGTTCATTAAATGCCAGTGTTTTGTCTAGTGTGATACCTCGGTATTTGGCCTTATTTTCAATTCTATCGCAATGTTATTGAGTGTTTTCTTGGACTTAGAATCTTTAGCCTCAATAATTACCATCTGTTATAATTTAATATGAAATTGGAATAAAATTTCACCATGGTAATGACATTTTACAATATTTAATATTATTGGAAACTTAAAATGGTTGACAAGTCGTTTTTTCTTAAAGTGGCGGGACTAATTGGGGGCACCGGTCTGGTTGCATACTCAGGCTATAGATTATATAAATACATTCAGTGGCGTAGAGAAGTTGCTGAGTTCCGCTTGAGAAAGAAATTAGATGAGGAGCGTGGGATCGATCGTACATGGAGTGAGGAAGTAGAGTTTTTAGTAGCACAAGGTCATGACCGCAAAAACATTCATAGTCATATGGCATAATGTAAGAAAAACAATAATTTACAATCATTTAATTTCTATAGTCTATCTACCATATAATGTATTCAGATGATTGTGTACTTTGCATCTTTTAATATAGGTATTACACAGAAAACATGTATGAAATAACTTGTTTTCAGGATTCATTCAATTCAGGGGGAACAACAAAAACGAAGGGCAAAATTACAAGGTTGTAGCATATCTAGAAGTGGACGTAGAACATAGAAATTGTAGGTAATATTATAATTATGCTTTTCATTTAACATATGAACCTGTTTCTGTGTATTCAACAATCGTTTTCAGGTAGATATAGTTTGTAGAATTTGTAGCCCACCTCAGCACAATCGATTCCTCTCGACTCATCTAAATTCTGCCTTTTTCTTCACTCAGCAAGTTGTCACGTCTCTGAATGTTCCTTTCCTTAATCTATAGCACAGGAGCAATCAGGTTTGGTCCCTCCAGTTAGTCCTAAAAGTAGAAGAAGAGGAGTGAGTAAAGTTTTTTTTTTTAATTTATGAACAGTTTTTATCAATCTTACAGTTTGCAAATATAATTGCTTTGTGACAGTTTTAATTCATGTTTATCTCATTACTATAGCTTTTTGCTTGTATATTCATCTGATTTCTAGTTAAATCACAATTTTTTTGTAGGTTGAGTTTTCTGATCCCAATAGGAGGTCAGAAAAAAAAAGAATAAGACAAGAAAAGAAATTTTAATGGTTTCTTTCCCACTGTATATGAATGCAATGCCCAAAAGTTCAACAAAGGAAGAAACTAGGAACAAAGGGCTGGTGACGAACTTAATGTTCTTATCATCATATTAATTTAAAAAAACTGAAATTGAACAATCATTCCATGTTAAAGGGCAACTGCAAATCACAAGAATTTGGTAAGCAATTTTTTACTTTGCCTACTTCGTGATTCAGATTCTTTTATATTAAATTGATTGATATTTCAAAACAAAATTACTTTCACTTTTTGACCTCAACAAATCAAATGAGTCATCAAAGAAACTAAATGAATGAAAATAGAAAATTTATAAATTAACTTCATTAGATAGCATGTTAAAAAATTAAAATTGTAAGCAAGTTTTGTAAATTAGACGTTTTATATAATCTTTAGTATTTAACTAGTCAAACAAAAAAATGTTTCAGATAGCTGTCAATGTTTGCGGAACCATGAGCATTAGTTTAAGCATTGATACGACAGTCATCATTGTAAGTTGAAGGTCCTGGGTTCAAATCCAGCAGCCCTGCATTGTAACCCAACACACAGACAAATGTTTTTTTTTTATTTTTTTACACCCAGATGGTTGATATGACCTCTGTAGTTGTGTCACATCCTAAAACAATAATAATTAATAAAAATATACAATAAATAAAAAAGTGAATAGTTATAGTTCAATATAAGAGCATATGTGTCAATTTTCTCAATTAAATAAATTATTTATATTAATCCACATTGTTTGCCAATTTTAGGGCTACTCCAAAATTATATAAATAATTGAAATGATAATTTGAAATTACACTGTGTAAATCATGTTGTTCTGCACATCTGATAATTGATACTGATTCTAGGATATGGAGATGGCAAGCAGATTATGACATTATTATAAACTACAGTCCCCATCAGAATTTCAACATAATGAAGATTGTATACACTTGTGGCCAACATAATCAATTATACATTTAAATTCATGATAGTCTTCATAATTCATTCATCATTTTGATTCTAGAATGGTTATTTGAATGTCACTTTACACACAACACGATTTTCTGCCGATTACCAAAAAATACCAAAAAGTAATATGTTCAATTACAGACGACGAATGAATAAAATAAATGTTAATAATAAATTCATGATTTAATCAGTTTAATATACTGAATTGTAAGTAATAATTAAACAATTACACTTTCTAAATCATATCCTTTTACATGTGTGATAAAATATTTTGCTTGGTCTATTCTAGGATATAGATGTGGCAGACAAATTGCAACAATGTTAAATCTACATTCTGATATTAACCAATGCAAATAATACATGAATAAAAATTATAACGTGCAAGTGTAAAAACATTTTAGAACAATTTCATAATTAGATTTATATACAACTATTTTGGTATTATTCTCAATAGTCTTAATTCTTAACCAACTTATTTTCCATATTTGATCACTTATTCTGTTTCTAGGATTTGGGTTTGGCCAATAGAACAGCTCATCATTTCCACCTCTCCCAAAAAATCACGTATTAATGAAGATTTACACTAATACTATGTCGTTATAGAGAAGAAAATTTTACAAAAAGTCAATATAATTTATTATTCTCAATGTTGTTTTTCATTTATGATGTCTATATTAATACCAAAAACTCTCTGTATTAATCTCTACGTTAATACTGACAGTCTGCTCTTCGAATGTATTCGTTCAAGTTGAAATACATTTAAAATTGTATGTTAAGTCTGTTTGATTGTACTTGTGTTTAACTTTCATTCATAATTAATACAATAACCTTTTTTTTCAGAATTAAAGGTTTTCTATTAATTAAATGCCATACAAGACAACAAAATTATTTATAAATTTCAAGTCTTTACAGAAATCCGTTCATATTTATCTTTGTCTCAAGTTTTTTGTATTGAACAATTTAAAACATGTAATAATTGCCTTTATCATTGCACTCTTGTTGCTTCATATTAGCACATGGTTCTATGTCTAGTAATTCAACTTGAAATATGATTGTTGTGCATCCCAGAGCTGTGTGATTCTGAACTTCTCAGTGTCATTATGCCTCATGTCATAGTTTGCTATCTTTGAGACATCTTTCTACCACGGATGAGCTTTCGGTTTTTCACTTTTCATTTGTTATTATTACATTCGCTCCATTACAATTTAATTTTGAATTTTAAAGATTAGTATTTTTTCCGAATTTTTGAATTGGTTTTGGCTGTGTCATTTGTCAAAATTCTCAAAAAGTTTATATGTCCAGCATTTGATTAATGGTTTTCACAGTTTTCAGATATTCTGTTCTATGTCTAGTAATTTGACTTGAAATATGATTGTCGTGGATCCCAGTGCCATGTGATTCTCAACTTCTCTAGTGCGACTCATTATGCCTGATCTCATAGAGTTTACTATCTTTGAGGTATCTTTGTACAATCAAAGAGCTCTAGGTTTTTCATTCTATCTTTCATCTGCTCCATTACAGTTTTATTTTGAATTTTGGTGTTTAAACAATAGTATTTTTCTGAAATTTTAGAATTGGTTTTGACTGTGTCATTTGTCAAAGTTCTCAAAAAGTTTATATGGCCAGCATTAGATCAATTGGTTTTCACTGCCAGATGAAATTGCAGTACCTCTGTCTTTTCCTTCCTTTTGATATAAATATATATTATGGGAATGAGGGCAGATGTTTGTGGGTTGTGGATAGAATGTGTCTGAGTAGGTCATTCCAAATCACTGCTGGATCTGGGGTCCTTGTGTTTCATAATTCGAAGGATAAATATGGAATGCAAGAGGAATCAATTTTTTCAGACTTTGTGACAATGTGGACTTGACTATATTAAATGCTCATTTGCCTAGAGGTAAAGAGGGTAAATATACAATCATTGAGAAGAGTAAATCAGTTAATGACTTATGTTGTGTGTTTACTGATTTATTTTTTATGACTGTAGATTTTCAAGTTCTCCCTGCAATTTATTCAGAACACTTACCTATTGTTTGCAGTATTTCCTCTGAAGTTTGTTACAAGGGAGAAGGTTTAAATGTTCTTCCAAGTCTTATTTTAATGTAATTCCAAGTCTTTAATGTCATCAAAATTTAATCAGTAGGCACACAACATAGGTCATTAACTAATTTACTCTTCTCGATGATTGTATATTCACCTTTTTTATTTCTAAGCAAATGAACATTTAATATAATCAAGTCCACATTGTCACAGAGCTTGAAAAAATTGTTGTTGTTCTCGCCAAGTTCAAAATCAATAAGTCACCTGGACGACCAGAGTCCTTTAGAAATTATATAAGTTAGTTCATTAACCAATTTTGGAACATGTCCTCGCACTTATAATTTCATTTTTGATCCAGCTGCTTCTGCCTTCATTTGTCCAGTCACTCATTTGACGATTATTCTAGAATGGCAATATTAATAATCTATTTCCTGGATTAATTGTGTGACTAAGATATTTTCTGAGCTCAAAAGGTTACTCTCTAATAAATAATATATTTGTTCACATTAATAAGATTTATTTTAAGACCCAGAAGAAACAAAATACATATTAATTGTAAAACTTGTAAAACTAAATTGTAAAACGACTCATTAATTGTTAAAAACTTTGAAGGAAATACTGAAAACAATAGGTAAATGTTCTGAATAAATTGCAGTGAGAACTTGAAAAACTACAGTCTAATAAACAATAGACCCACAACATAGGTCATTAACTGATTTACTCATCTTCTCAGTGATTGTAGATTCACCTTCTTTATATCTAGGCAAATGAGCATTTATTGGGTTGTCCGGAAAATAATGCAGGATTTTAAGTTTTCATTAAAAAAAATCTATATAAAATATTCTGTTTACGTTTACAGGATTAATCATTTGTATGAATGTCAACACTTATTAATCCTCTTCCAAATGATATTGTTTGTTTACCTCTGTAGCATTCCGCTACTTGGAAATAANTAAAGAACATTGCTTTAAAGTAACTAGTTTCTTTTTTTTTGTTTAATACCAAAATCCTGCATTATTTTCCGGACAACCCAATAATAGTCCAAATTTCAATTCATTTTATTAGGTAATAGTCCACATTGTCACAGAGCTTGAAAAAATGTATTCCTCTTGCATTCCATATTTATTCTTTGAATTATGAAACACAAGGACCCCAGATCTAGCCTGCAGTGATTTAGAATGACCTAGCCAGACATTCTATCCACTACCCATAAACTTCCGCCCTTATATTTCTGTATTATTATTTATATTTATGTATGTAATGGTGGTAAAGACTGAGGTACTAAGATTTCATCTGAAAACAGTGAAAACCATTAATCAAATGCTGGACATATAAACTTTTTGAGAACTTTGACAAATGACACAGCCAAAGCCAATTCAAAAATTCGGAAAAAATACTAATCTTTAAAATTCAAAATTAAATTGTAATGGAGCAGAATGTAATAATAATAAATGAAAAGTGAAAAACCGAGAGCTCTTCCGTGGTACAAAGATGTCTCAAAGATAGCAAACTATGACATAATGACACTGAGAAGTTCAGAATCACACAGCTCTGGGATGCACAACAATCATATTTCAAGTTGAATTACTAGACATAGAACCATGTGCTAATATNATAAATTCAGATAAATATGAACGGATTTCTGTAAAGACTTGAAATTTATAAATAATTTTGTTGTCTTGTATGGCATTTAATTAATAGAAAACCTTTAATTCTGGAAAAAAAGGTTATTGTATTAATTATGAATGAAAGTTAAACACAAGTACAATCAAACAGACTTAACATACAATTTTAAATGTATTTCAACTTGAACGAATACATTCAAAGAGCAGACTAATCAGTATTAACATAGAGATTAATACAGTTAATACAGAGAGTTTTTGGTATTAATATAGACATCATAAATGAAAAACAACATTGAGAATAATAAATTATATTGACTTTTTGTAAAATTTTCTTCTCCATAACGACATAGTATTAGTGTAAATCTTCATTAATATGTGATTTTTTGGGAGAGCTGGAAATGATGAGCTGATCTATTGGCCAAACCCAATCCTAGAAACAGAATAAGTGATCAAATATGGAAAATAAATTGGTTAAGAATTAAGACTATTGAGAATAATACCAATATTGTTATATATAAATCTAATTATGAAATTGTTCTAAAATGTTTTTACACTTGCACGTTATAATTTTTATACATGTATTATTTGCATTGGTTAATATCAGAATGTAGATTTAACATTGTTGCAATTTGTCTGCCACATCTATATCCTAGAATGGACCAAGCAAAATATTTTATCACACATGTAAAAGGATATGATTTAGAAAGTGTAATTGTTAAATCATTACTTACAATTCAGTATATTAAACTGATTAAATCGTGAATTTATTATTAACATTTATTTTATTTATTCGTCATCTGTAATTGAACATATTACTTTTTGGTATTTTTTGGTATTCGGCAGAAAATCGTGTTGTGTGTAAAGTGACATTCAAATAACCATTCTAGAATCAAAATGATGAATGAATTATGAAGACTATCATGAATTTAAATGTATAATTGATTATGTTGGCCACAAGTGTATACAATCTTCATTATGTAGAAATTCTGATGGGGACTGTAGTTTAAAATAATGTCATAATCTGCTTGCCATCTCCATATCCTAGAATCAGTATCAATTATCAGATGTGCAGAACAACATGATTACACAGTGTAATTTCAAATTGTCATTTCAATTATTTATATAATTTTGGAGTAGCCCTAAAGTTGGCAAACAATGTGGATTAATATAAATAATTTATTTAATTGAGAAAATTGAGCTGAAAAAAGGAACAAATGTTCTTTTATTGAACTGTAACCATTCACTTTTTTATTTATTGTATATTTTTATTAATTATTATTATTATTTTAGGATGTGATACAACTACAGAGTTCATATCAACCCTCTGGGTGTAAAAAAATGAAAAAACATTTTCAGTGTGTTGGATTACAATGCAGGGCTGCTGGATTTGAACCCAGGACCTTCAACTTACAATTTTGTTGAGGTCAAAAAGTGAAAGTAATTTTGTTTTGAAATATCAATCAATTTAATATAAAAGAATCTGAATCACGAAGTAGGCAAAGTAAAAAAATGCTTACAAAATTCTTGTGATTTGCAGTTGCCTTTAAACATGCAATGATTGTTCAATTTCAGTTTTTGTAAATTAATATGATGATAAGAACATTAAGTTCGTCACCAGCCCTTTGTTCCTAGTTTCTTCCTTTGTTGAACTTTTGGGCATTGCATTCATATACAGTGGGAAAGAAACCATTAAAATTTCTTTTCTTGTCTTATTCTTTTTTTTTCTGACCCCCTATTGGGATCAGAAAACTCAACCTACAAAAAAATTGTGATTTAACTAGAAATCAGATGAATAACAAGCAAAAAGCTATAGTAATGAGATAAACATGAATTAAAACTGTCACAAAGCAATTATATTTGCAAACTGTAAGATTGATAAAAACTGTTCATAAATTTAAAAAAAAAACTTTACTCACTCCTCTTCTTCTACTTTTAGGACTAACTGGAGGGACCAAACCTGATTGCTCCTGTGCTATAGATTAAGGAAAGGAACATTCAGAGACGTGACAACTTGCTGAGTGAAGAAAAAGGCAGAATTTAGATGAGTCGAGTGGAATCGATTGTGCTGAGGTGGGCTACAAATTCTACAAACTATATCTACCTGAAAACGATTGTTGAATACACAGAAACAGGTTCATATGTTAAATGAAAAGCATAATTATAATATTACCTACAATTTCTATGTTCTACGTCCACTTCTAGATATGCTACAACCCTGTAATTTTGCCCTTCATTTTTGTTGTTCCCCCTGAATTGAATGAATACCTGAAAACAAATTATTTCATACATGTTGTCAATGTAATACCTACATTAAAAGATGCAAGGTACACAATCATCTGAATATATTATATAGTAAGTAGACTATAGAAATTAAATGATGTAATGTAAATTATTGTTCTTCTTACATTATGCCATATGACTATGAATGTTTTTGCGGTCATGACCTTGTGCTACTAAAAACTCTACTTCCTCACTCCATGTACGATCGATCCCACGCTCCTCATCTAATTTCTTTCTCAAGCGGAACTCAGCAACTTCTCTACGCCACTGAATGTATTTATATAATCTATAGCCTGAGTATGCAACCAGACCGGTGCCCCCAATTAGTCCCGCCACTTTAAGAAAAAACGACTTATCAACCATTTTAAGTTTCCAATATTATTAAATATTGTAAAATGTCATTACCATGGTGAAATTTTATTCCAATTTCATATTAAATTATAACAGATGGTAATTATTGAGGCTAAAGATTCTAAGTCCAAGAAAACACTCAATAACATTGTGATAGAATTGAAAATGAGGCCAAATACCGAGGTGTCACACTAGACAAAACACTGGCATTTAAGGAACATATCAGCTCTACCATCAAGAAAGGGCATGAGCCTTAATGGTGTGCGGAAAAATAGCAGGAAACACTAGGATGCTGGCCTGAAACCCTGCTTTGTACGTACACCATGATGGTGAGACCTATTCTCTCATATTGCCCCATAGTCTGGGTCAATAAAGTAGAACAAATAAGGAAACGAAAAGAACTCACGAAAATACAGAGACTTGCATACATTTGTATAATGGGAGCCAAGAGAACATGTCGTACATCTGGTATGGAGAAGATTCTGGGATTAAACTCCCTCCACCAGATGATGACGAGAACTGCACAGAAAACCTTATTACTATTAAAGAGAAACCTTCAATAGGAATAAAACTAAAATGGAGAAATAGTAAAAATCTAAGGAAAGACCAGCCGATACTCATGGCCCCAACAGACGACATGAATAGGACGTTTGAGTTTAATCAAAATTTTGAAACAAAGTTAAGTACCCAAAAGAAATGGGAAAAGAGAAAAATATCTTCTTTAAGAAGGGCACCATCTACTTGTACACTAGTCAGATCTAGAATGCTAGAACATATGGGGGCAGGAGTATTCGTCCCTGGAACCAAATACTCAGAACCCACAGGAAAATAAACTAGTATCTTCCAAGCTCAGTTCTATGTAATTGAAAGATGTACCCAATTCAATCTGAACAAAGGGTACATAAATATAATATAGCTGTCATGTCAGAAAGCCAAGCGACCATCAAAGCTTGAACTATAAACAGCATTGGCTCAGGAATGGTGCTGAATTGCAAAACCAAACTAAACAAATCAGATATGTGAAAGAAAGTCAACCTCTGCTGGGTCTATTTTTTGGGGCAGCTGGAAATGATGAGCTGATCTATCGGCCAAGTCCATATCCTAGAATCAGTATAAGTGATAAAATATGGAATAAGGGATCAAATATGTTTTTCAGTTTTTGGCATATTGTACCATCTTGAGAAAAATTTGCCTGTTACATCTTGAATAATGGGTTTTGACATGGGTCAAGCTTAGACAGTTTTTATTAACACACATATAAATAATAATAATTATGATTTCATATAATTATTTTTTTATTTTTTTGGGATTTTTTGGGATTTTTTGCGTTTTTCTTGAAAAATACATTAAAAAAATGTGCCTACGAGCCTTTTACATCAAAAAAGACAATAAAATCCCACATCTCAACACCTGAGTTCCTTTAAAGCTACCGTTCTACAACCAGGACCATGAAGTTTGAGTTAGTTCTTACAAAATTACAAGCTTAACTCAGCTAGATATACTGACACTAATGAATTAACTGTGTATTTAATATTAAAAGTGTTATACAAGGTAGCCAGAAAAGAAAAGGAAAAAGTGTTTTGAACAGTTCACTGAAAATTATAAAACTTTTTTATGGCTTCAAAACCCAAAATTACCTACATGCTTATTGTATGAATTTTAGCTTGTACTATGACGGTCGAGGCAGCCCATAAAATTTGCAGTGTGTTCAGCAATGAAACAATAAGTGAGCACACTGCTCAAAAGTGGTTTAAAAAATTTAAAAAAGTACTCAGCCAAATTCAAAGCATCATTTTGTTGGTGAATATTCGGTTTTCACTTCATTTGGTGACGACCAATGGTACATGATCCACTTTTCATTGCATGTGATAATCCGTCAAAAATGTCTCTACTTTGAGTCATCAATGCGATGAAAGGACAATTTTTAGATTCTGAATCAGTTTATGAAGAACACATTTGGTTACTTTTAGCGTCTTTCCAAGTTGTAAGCTATAGGAAATGGTTTGGCTAGCTGTCGACATGTTTGACACAGATCCAGTTCGATAACTACTTCAATCCATAGGCATTCAAGACAGGTCTCTAAACTGTGGTTCATCTTCAATTCCCGCATTCCCAGAAGCAAATATTTTGAACTACTTTTGGGCAACCGAGCACATTGCAAATTTTACGAGCACCCTTGGCTATCACTACCTGGCTAAAATTCATACAATAAGTGTATGAATTATGGGTTTTGAAGCCATGACAAAGAAAAAAAAATTATAATTTACAATAAACTTTTCAAGATGTCTTTTCTTTATGAACTTACACGTTATCCTCTTGGTATTACTTAATGTAACACCTAATCCTCCTATGGATCTAAAAATGTCGATTAAATTATATTCATAATTAATTATTCAAGGGACTATAACACAGAATAAAGTTCATTTTTCATTTCCTTTCAAAGAAAAATATTAACAAACAAATGCAGGGCTCATGACTACATGACAATTCAAATTTTGTGCCATTTGATTTTATTAAGTGGGTCAAACATTACTATTTTTTTGTATTGGCTCAACTTGAGTTTTTATTAAATTAATACTATTTATATGTTAAAAACTTTTTTTCTTGTTTATTAATATTTACCTATAAATGTTAAATAATTAATTTTGTAAAAAAAATATGATTCTTATTGTACAGTCATTGCTCCCTGTAAACAATTACAACTATTAAAATTGTTTTACATTGCTTTTCCACCAGAGCAGAATTATTCGTGGAGTTTTATGCAACAGATTCAAAATATTGAAATACCATATTTTCTCGATTTGAACTGTAAGTATTGAAATTAAATATTTGTATAAATTTTACTAAAATTGACGTGTCATATATTAGAAAATAGTAAGACTTTAATAAAGAAAGGTGTCATGTCAACTTTTTGTTCAAAAACAGGAGTTGAATCTTACAAATTAGGTATATGAATATCCAAATTGATCACCGTCATTCATTTGTAGCTTATCAATGTTAAATATCTTTCAAGGGTCATGAGATAAAGGTTTTTTTGCGAAGTCTATTGGATTTGTTGCTCAACGTACATTGAAATATTGGTAAGTCTTTTAAATGTGATATACAAATTATTTTTTGCATTATTGTTCGCGATAATAATTGTATATAATTTAACTAAATTAATGTGACACTCATTGAGCATTTGCAATCTGTGATCTTATGAGATTTTTCCATTTGGTCTGCAGGGTAATGAAGCTGTACTTTGGTCATTACCAATCATTTTAGACAATCTAATTTATGTTATCTATCATCAAATTCAACCTAAGTAAAGTGAAATACTTGAGCGTTTGAAAATGTTAGCCTTATCTGTCTATTATTTCTCTCTCTCTCTCTCTCTCTCTCTCTCTCTCTCTCTCTCTCTCTCTCTCTCTCTCTCTCTCTNTATTTTTGCTGTTGCCCAACTCTATACATGGCCATCCAAGATGAGGCTCATCTCATAATTTGGTCGAACCTTGTCTGCATACATTCCAAGTATCTTGCCTTAATTACCGTGGCAATGTCGTCTGTGTACCCCACAAGGAATGTATCTTAACTGGCATCTCTATCTGGAATATCTCATCATAATATTCGGTCGGGTCCTAAAATGAGCCATAAGCTCTAGCTGTGACCACCTTTGAACGAGACCCTCCGTAGGGCTGTATGCAAGCTTTCTTTCGCTGAAACTTTTCGTACATAGTAAATAAATTGACACTTTTTTTTTCCTTCTTTTGACTTTATCCTTTGGAAGTATTGTCATATATTTTTTATTTATTGTATTTATTATCTTACTGTTTTGGTTGCTATTAGTTTTTAGTAGGTTGTTTTTAATCTATTTATTTTATTTTACTTTTTAAATTATTATTTATTTATTTATTTTTATAATTTTTTTCTCTACCCGAATGGGAGGAGGAAGGTGACAGGACGCCGAGGACACCCCTGCCTCTACCGTCTGAGAGCTATTTCTAAATTCCTTAAAACGAAATGTTAACTGGCTTAAGAAAGTTGTAAATTAATTCACAAACTGTCATTTTATTGCGAACAACAGTTCAAGACTTATCGGACCAAATATATTGGGGTCACTACAAAAATCTGTCGATAGTTGTTTCTCTGGTTTTCATACTCTGGGTATTCAGCATTATATGGCTGGGATTTGAGGACTGTCGCATGTTGGGCAGTTAGGGGATGTCCTTAATCCAATTCTGTACATATAACTCCTCCCACAAGCCATGGTTAGTTTTCATTCTGAAAATAGTGGAATAGAATTCCTTTTGCCCGCCTCGTTCCCAAAACCGCGGTTTTGTTTTTAGCTTTGGGATAAAGCTCGATAGTACTCGCCAACTGTTACTGATCAGTAGTCTTTATCCCATATATTGAACCACAGTTGATAGAATTTTTTTTTATTTTAATTTGATAGGATACACCAGATATAGTGGCCTCTTTTGTCAATGTGTCTTCAGTTTTGTTATAATAAATACCAGCATGACCTTTAACCCAACATATTGTCACATTTTGTCCAGCTTTGTTAGCTCAAAGATCTTTCTGTAAATATCTGAAATAATATTTACAACTTGGGGTTTTACATATACTATCTACAGTGCTCAACAGTCCATTAAGATACAGAATTTAATTTAATTTCTTCTTTTAATGAATTCAAGCGCTTTATCTATGGCGGTCAGTTACGCTGTGTAGACGGTTCTTTTTTTATAATCAAAAATGGCGCAACCTGATTTACCATCCAAGAGTGACCCATCAGTAAAATTTTGCAGATGGTTTAGATAGTGTTATATCCATATTCGATATAAATTCTTTCTGAACTAAGTGTTGAGCGGTCTGCGAATAGTCTTTTAAAAATACTGTGTCAATGCACTGTAATCAAGCTGGTATGAAGGGTCGAAATAGCTTTTATGTAATGAGCATATCTGCGGGATTTAATGTAGAAAAGCTGAAACTAATGTGGGAGGTCTATTGTTAATAATTGGGCTCTCAAGGCTGACGAGTTTGGTGAGGAAATTTAATGCCAATTTTAACCGCCTTTTCTCTACGGGAGGCTCACAAGTTTTGGCTAACAAAGGCACAATCAAAGTACCTGGCAAACCCCTAAGGATACACCTTAGGCAACCTTTACATAAAATGTCAATTTTTTTTAGAAATGATTAATATTACCTGTCCTGGTTGGCACCTTGAAATTCGCTTCTATGGCATCCAGCAATCTTGCTAATAAAGACATAATGATTTACATCATGCAAATATAAGGCTGCTAATCTTGTTATAGCAAGATCTTTTGTTTAATTGACTTTTAAAATATGTTTAAGAATATGATTAAAGTTTTTATATTAAAAAAATGTTCCAGGTACAACTATATTCAAAATAAATAACATTTTGTACTATTCAAATATACATAGATATATATTCTAGTGTGTTTAGTCTTGCTGATACAACTATCCGTTTTTATTTTTATTTTTTTGCAGAAAAGGCTCAGCATTTTTGTGTTAAAATGAAATCATCGTGGGATGATAAAATAGCGGTTTTGTTTGAAACCAAGTTACACTGTGATGTTGAGTTAATAGTCTCTGACAATAAAGCATCAACGATTGTAGGTTCAATTGTCTTAGTTATTTTAAACACAAATTAATATAATTTATGTAATTAGGATGCAATGTATTTATTTATCTTGTTTGTATTGTCAAACTCTTTTCTATGAGTATGACATTGTAAGAAATCAATCAATTACAATCAATCACTTAGTCTTAAGAGAAAATTGTTGTGGGTTGCCAAAAAAATTTTATACATGCATTTTCAGTTCAAGGCACATAAAATTATTTTGAAAATGTGCAGCGAATTTTTTTCAACGCTGTTTGGGAGTCATTTCTTGGAGAGTAAATCAAATACTGTTAAAGTAACAGCAGCTCCTGAAATATTTGAAATGTTTTTAGAGTACGTAAAAAACTTTTCTGTTTATAAATAGAGATTTATATCTTCTTTTTTCAGATTAATTTATACAAATAATATTAAGCTGACATCATGTGAACAAGCTATCGCTCTCTATAAACTTGGCGATCAGTTGTTATCGCCGCTTGTTACCGCATACTGCTACAAGTACATTTTTGACAACATCAACGACAACACAGCATGCATTTGTTATGAATTTTCCATTCTTTACTCTTTAAAGAAACTGGAAGACTATTCGCTTAGAGTATGGTCGCATAAATGCTATATTGAAACAAATTATTTTTCTATTAGCTAAATAAAATAAAATATTAAATTCAGGTGATACCGATTAACTGTCAAGGTTTCCTTCATTTGAGTGAAAGTAGTATTGTGAAAATTGTATCAGATGGGAATGTGTTAGCAAGGGAATTCGATCTTTTCGAAGCAATTGCAAAATGGATACAACACAAAGGTAAATCAAATAAACATATCACATTTGATCGACATTAATTCAAACATTTTCAGGAGAAAAATCAAAAGAATACTATCGAAACTTGTTAATTCCTAAATTTCATTATTTTAACATGACACCAAAAGAATTCTGCGATGGCCCCATCAGCAGTGGCTTATTGAAGGGTGAAGAGATTTTGGCCATCCTAGCAAATCTTACATCTCAAGATTGTCGTATACCTTTTCCCGAAGGCTTTCCGCAAACCTTGAGAGGCGGTAAGTTTCGAAACTGCTTACAAGGGCCTCAAGAGGTCCGTGTACTGTTTGAAGAAGCTCCAGTTTTTTCAAGGCATTTGAACAGATGCTCTGGATTTATATCAGTTAAAGAGGATGTCATTATTTCAGGTTTAAAGGTAAATATCAATACATGACTAATATTATATAAAGATATATTATAATTTGTATTTACACGTACAAAGAGGGTAAATAAACAAATAACATTTTCCATTTTTTAAAAATTTTACAGCTTGGTCTTCCAATGTTATTGTACTCTATGGTACACAACAATTATTATTTATTAATTATTAACATGTTAATATTAATTATTAACTAATTAACAATTGGTATTATTTATTCATATTGTCTCATCACTCAGAGGCCTTGTCACCCAAGGGTCATGGTCCATAGCTTTGTCATTGAAGATTCAAGCCCACAGCCTCTGCTGCCCATTGATTTGCTGCTGTCGCTAGCCGAATTGCTATGTGAATTTTTTCGGGCCCTCCTCATTTTGGCCATGGATGACAAAGCCTCGGAGGACCTTAAGATTCTTGCACTGTTCAGAAGCTTTGCGTGCATGGCCTAGGAGCCATCCTATGATGCCATTGTATGATGAGACCTCTGATCAGTGTGGCAATATTATATATATTTTCTTACATAAAAGATTTTTTCTTTTCCAGTTGAGTTGCAGAATAAAAACAAAATATTTGGCCAAGGATTCAGTTATTACGTTGAAAATCAATGACAAAACTTTGACAATTGATATGAGCCAGTGTTTGTATGCGGACAACGCACTCATCGTAAATTTATCATTACCCGTCGCACTATGGAAAGATAAAATTCACACAATTGAAATCGACATGAGTAGTATCAGCGGTTTGTACATGCTGTATAATTTTTACAAAGCAGAGCTTTCAGGAACACTATCGAACGGAATGCAAATTGATGCTATACTCGACGGTGAATATTTACCAATACAATCACTTTATTTTTTACCCATAGGTCAGTGAAATGATTAATTTGAATTTAAATATTTTTCCATAACTGACATAAATTAACGTACAACTCCGATCTTAATCTGTTCCCATTGTTAAGTTAGCATTGTTTGGATTGTGTGTACATGCTAAATTCCTAACAAAAATAGTCTATAAAGTTAATATGCATCTTAACAAAGATGCATATTATTTCAATCATTAAAACCTATAAAAATATTAATGATGATAGATTATGATGATACACCCAGAATAACCATTGAATGGCAAAAATGTGAGGCAAAACCGCAAGAATAGTGAGACTGAAACTGGACATGTCTCACTGAAGATGACACATAGCCAAAATGCATTTGAGTGTCATAAAAACATATGAGTGACAGGCCCAGTGTTGTTTCTGCCATAATTTTAATATAAATAAAATTTCTGGTTTAGAATCTATTTGATGCTTGCAATTTTATAATAGTATGCTATTATAAAAATAATTTAGCATAAAAAAAGACAACATAAAAAGAAATTTTGTTATTTGAATATGTAACTATCTAGTCATTAATAATTTTATTAACTTTTCCCTTTAATAAATCAATGGAAAAAATGTTACTTAAAGGATTTGTAACTAGTATTATATAAATAAATATAAATTAACAACACAAAACCAACGGACAATTAATGTATTAAAGTTTGTAATAACAAGTAATTTTTCTTAAACTTGAATTTTTGTTTTACGGATATTTATACAATATTGAAGTCTTATTTTATTTCCGGCATGTCTTGGAAATTTTCAAACATGAAATCTACAACAAAAGCAAATTATTAATTTGTGAAATACAATAAAATACAGTGCGATTTATAATATTTACCTGAAAGACCTAGATTTATCTCAATAATTGTTTCTTGCAGTTGACTGTCTATAAATTTAAATAATAATTAACTCGGCCAGTTTCTAATTCACTCAAATAATAAAAATTTTATAACTGAATATATGATAATTAGGTAAATTATTATTATTTAATGTGCTTTTATTTAAAATAAAATAAAAATACAATTCTTAAAAAAAAAGTATTGCATGCAATGGCAAAGACCACCTGTAGGAGAAAGACATGAAAATAAAATAAAATAAATAAAATCAACAAAAAGAAAATAAACTGGCAAAATTTAATAGTTCATTCACCAAAATATATGAAAAGTGACACAAAAACATAATAAAATAAGTTAACTAAAGCTTTAAAAAAATCTGAATTTACAGTGTTAAAAAATTGAAAAAGCAAAAATTAGTTCCAATCCGATCAAATTCTCCAAGAATGGTATGCATAATTAATAAGTGGCCAAGAGTGACACTAACCTGTCAGATAAGAAACAATTTCTTTCCTTGAAAGAATTCAGATTCCAAAATAGTCGAACCTGACTTCAACAAGCAAAGGAATTGATCCAGAAAATGAGTTACATTCATCAGTGGAATTTTTTTGGAGCATGGTTTATATTTTAAAAACAGCAGTTCCCTCAGTTTAAAAAGCCAACAAAGTTCGAAGAAACTTAGATCGTTATTTTTTCAAATACCTTTTTGATGTTAATATTTCCTATGACAGCTTAGTACAAAATGAAGCAGGCAGAAATAGAAACTTGTTGCTGAGTTTTATGGATGCTTTTATTTTGTCAGACAGGCCAATTAACTGGTATTCCTAGGAAGAAATACCATTCCAAGGCTCTGCAAAGTCAGAATGATTCTTTTGTGTCATAGAAACTGTTTGAACCTCCAGAGTCTATTTTTATAAAAATTTTCAGGGCAGTGATTTTTGGTAAATGGTGGCCTGGCAATTTTAGTATTTTAAGGCAGTATTTAGTTCCATTTCAGTTCAAACAGCTAACATATAAAAAGGGGTGACAGATGGGAAAGAAAACAGTTTTTCTGAGGAAGTACCTTGAAATTTTTCCAAAACTTTTATAAACTTTTGTTTTAGAGTCAAAGGGGACATTTGTCTTGTATAAGTTTAGCCCACACCTTGTTAAGTCCAAATTTGGCATGAAGTATTTTGGAGTCTAAAAGAGAGGAGATTATAAGGGAGATACAAGGGGTTAGCAAAATCCCAGATACTTGTATTGATCAACAACCTCAACTTTTTCTCCCTTATAAAACTATTTGTCAGCTAATTTAGCACCATTGCAAAAAAAAAGTTTTAGAGAGATTAACTTCTAAATTCCATTGCTGACAATACTGTGCTAAAAGGTTTACTCTTCTCTGTAATTTATTAGGATTGTCTGCTATGAGGATTCCGTCATCTTTATTTTAATACCCACCATCAAAACACCACATAGGTCATAAAGAAATAAAGAGAACAGGGTAGGGCTCACCACGCATCCATGTGTTCATTCCACCTGTTTAAAAGATTTAGAAATACCATCTGACCCATGAACTGCTGCATGTGAATAAAGGGTTTTTCAAATGTTTAAAAATTTTGAGAAAATTCCTAAATTTTATAGTATGAGGAACGATGAGAAATAATCAACTGTATCTAAGGCTAATTTAAAATTGATAAAGCAGCAATACTTTTTTCCCTTTTTCAAGAAGCCTAATTTTAATGAGTTGGTTAACACAAAAATATTATTGTCAGCACAGTAATTTGGCTGAAACTCTGACAAAAGTTTTTGTCTTTTCCTTTTTTTCTATAAACGATCTTAGACGATTTAAGAGAAGTGAAGAGAAAATTTTCGAAATAGAGTTCAGATAAGATATACCTCTATAATTGTTTGTATCATTAACGTCTCCTTGTTTGTAAAGAGGAAAGAAGATTGATTTGCAGAATGATGGGGAAATTTCACCAATTTTATATATGTAGTTAAAGAAGTTGAATAAATTGTGTATTAAATTAAGAGATGCATTTTTATAAAACTTGTGCAGTAAGCAATCAGGGTGTGGCAATGTTTGTTTTTAAGGCTTGATAATACTTTACTAAGTTCATTCAATGAGAAAGACGCATCCAGAAAGGGGAACATGTGAAGGGGGAATAGTGTCGGTGAGTTCAAAGGGGAAAAAAATCAGCAAAAGCTCAAAACATGACGCTCATGTATCCAAAGGAATATTAGTACCAGAGATAAAGTTTCTTTGACAAAGCTGTTAGCCAAATTATGATAACTTTAATTATTTTGGAATCATTTTTGTTTGGCTTTTAATAAAAATTGTACACACTTGGATGATCAGGCACAAGTTATTTAAGTTAAGATAAATTTTTTAAAATTTATGGTATGATATTATCTTTAAATCTATTCACCTTCACTATCATTTAAATTGTACACATCTTCTGAAAACATCGAGGTATCTACAACAAATTTAAAAATATAGTGATCAATACAATTTTCTACATTGTTCTTGAAATTACCAATAAAATTGAACCCATCATCTTGATTAGGATTTAGCAATAAACACTTGTCTGTTTCTAGAAGAAAAAAAAATTAGCTGGATCGCCATTTACCATTAATTGGATATTTACCATTAACAGTTGAATGCTCTTCAAAATTAGTCCTTTCTATGGGGTTTTCTTCTACTTTAGACCAAGTTTCTAAAATTGTTTTGTACAGATCAGTAAGTGATTCTTTTAACATCAAGATCAGAAACTAACTTTTTATGTCTCCTTTTACCTATTATTACTTATAAGTGGAAAACCATCCATACCAAAACCCAAAATAATGGTTTTTTTAATGTTTTAGATGGGTTTATTTTAATATTTATTGTTACAATAAAGATATTTACCATTCTCTAGCAATGACACACCTGGAAAATCGTAAATACTCTCTGCTTCATCATTTTGTACACAAACTGCTTTTGTGTCCTTTGTGTTTGATGTATAGTTGACCGCTTGAATAGGGTTTACTGTTCAAAAAATTCATATTAGCCCAAACCAACAGTCTTATCGAAAATTATCAAATAGAAAAACTTACATTTCAATTTTCTCACTAAAAACATGATTAAGCCATGTGTTTTAAAAAAACCACAATTACAAAAAAATTAGAATTTTATTGGTTCTTTGCATTACTTATTTATTATTTATTTGTATTTTTAATATTCAATCATTTATAAGACTACAGAGACCCAGTAAGAAGAAATAGTGTGAAAAAATACAAAATACAGACTGAACAATTTTTTATTTACAAAATTAAACAAAATAAAATTTCATACAAAAATATAATAAAGTCAACACAATTTTAAACCAAAGATTACCAAACTACAGTGATTAATGAACTAGAAATGAATACTAATTGCTATTGACCAGAGTCTAGATCCGTTCCAGACTCTCAAATTTGTTACAGCTTTTAATTTAAAAAAATTATATCGTTAAGTAGTTGGGGGAGTTTGGACTTTTAATATATTCTACAACATAGAGTTGGTTGAAAGGTAATTGCTGAGGAAAATGTATCTATGAATATTAAGCGTAGGACAGGATGTTGAGATGATAGATAATAGTGTTTTATTTACAGAATGAATACAAATTAAATTTTATTTCATTTTTAACACATTCAACATGAAAATTTAGTTCGTCTACTGGGCTAGACAGACATTAAAGTATAAAGAATAAATAAAAACTTAGAGGAAATTAAATTCATTGACTATGAAAAGTCATAATTAGGTATTGTTCAATTACTATAAAACAACTATGAAATGAGCTTCATATAATTTATATTGTATTTATTAATAAATAGAACAATTTAAGTTATTTAGTTCATTATTTTTGTTTTGCTTAAGTTACGTTATTATATCAAATGCACTATTTATTTATAAATTCAACACAGCTTTGTACTTTTGTATGTTTTATATTATGTGAAGACTAACTCCAACTCCACTGATGTTACCCCGATCATGGTTGTCGTCTTTAATGTTATTCTCTATTTTATGAAAACATTTTCTTTTGTATGTGTTTGTAAATAAAAAAATATGTAATAATAAGAGTAAATTCACTTCATTTCTTTAACTAAACGCCTCTTTTAGAAAATTTGCTAACAAATTCCAATTCTTGCCATTTACCCATTCTATGATACCCTCCTTAATGAGGCTTTTTCTTGGAGCCATTTTACTTTTCCTTCAGAACGGTACATTCGCCGATAAAATGTTGTGTACTTTCTTTTGATCTGTAATTACAGAGAGCATATTTGTTGACCTTCATCACGCCACGGTTTCAAATCGACATTTAAAAGCTTGCAGCGGGTCTTAAAAATTAAACTTTTAGAAAAGAGGTGTCTTTCATCAATTAAGTATAAGCTGTTTGTTAATCGTTCATTGAATTGAATTCGAACAATCAAAACGATAGGAAATAGAACAAATATTTTAGAATTGAAGAATTAGAAAATGGAAATGGAAATTAGGAGTTTGAACAAGTTTATCCAGCCCAGAGGACCAAAAATTCTGAATATTAAAAAATTTAAATAAAGGAAATAAAGAAAAACTTATTTGGCGTGGACTATAAAAAATGGATTACTCACTGAAGGATGTAGCAAGGTTGGGCACGTTTCACCACCGTAGAACAACCTATAGTTCAGTGAAGTGAAGAATAGGATGGGAAATTTGGAAGTATTAAAGAAAAATTGAAAGGGAATATGAGAGGTGCTCCAGGAGAGGTTTTTTTTAATAAAGAGGAGAGAGGTGAGCCGAGAAGAGGTTTTTTGTTCACAATAGATTCATACTGGGAGATAGAGAAATCAGAACTGCTGAAAAAAATTCAAAAGGAGAGGTTTAGGAGAGAACTCAAAGGGTCAAGGTGCAGGGCCTATTTTGCTCTGGCCAAAACAGGAATGGTATTTAAATTTTCTGTCTTTTTCTGCAAAAAAATATTACTGGGCTACCTCAACGACATTTGAGAAAAACAGAATTTATTTCTGTAGTGACATCATGTTTTACTATTAAGTCCTTTAAATCTGCATACCCTTTGCCATACACGGGAACCTTTCTTCTGGGAGAGTTGGTTGCATAGGATTAGAAAAATGAGATCGTCTGAGGAGCTATCTACTGAATTTAGTTGGTGCATGAATTTAATGTCACCATTGAATTGTCTGTAATAGAGGACTCCATACAATGTTACAGTATTCCAATATTGTATGTACCATACTCTTCTAAAAAACTATTAAGGCTAATGGTAGTTTTCTGTAAATTCAGATATGAAAGCACTTGAAAATGTGTGATGATTAATGACCGTTAGTCGATGATTATTCGGAGATCGTGAGATGCTGTCTGGTATGGCGTAAGTTTTAGAAAAACGTTTTCTTTAATGTTTTGATCTTTAGTGAGATCATCTTCAGGACTCAAAGTGTTTGTTTTCTGCGTAATTGTGCCATTCTTGTGTCGTGTTGAGTGCCCATTGTTTTTAAAAATGTTTTTCTAAAACCTACGTCACACCAGACTGCATCTCACGATCTCTGAATAAGCACTTGAAAATTTTGACATCGAGCAAACAGAGAAAATTGTATCAGAAAAGCAAAGCGTAATATCATTAATAAATAATTTGAAAGGAAAAGGACCAAGATGCTAGTCTGAAGTCTGAAGAAACGACAAATTTCTTGGATATTGTATTATTCAACTTTTCAGCCAGGAAACTATCAGCCAAATAGGATTTACTTAGTTATATGACATCTATTTGAATTATTAAGCTGCAAATGGACTTTACTAAGTGCCAGGGCTTCAAATACTTTTGTTTGTACTGGCTGGATACAGACGGATCTGTAGTTTTTTAGATCAGGGAAATCGCCAGCCTTATGAATTGGTTTTATAAAACTAAATTTAAGTATATGAAGGTTTCAGAAAAATATTCCATAATTGTTCATTGATATTTATTAATTATATAATCACAGCCAAGTTACATTTATCTCTATCATATGAAAATTATTCATCGAATTCAACATTATTGTCTTCTTCAGGATAATCAAAATCTCTGGTTTTAACATCAGATTCCTCTCCGTATTGAATGACATTGGCTATAGTTAACTGTAGGTCGGCCATATTCTCCTCATCCTTTAGATTCAGCGGGAAGAAACGTACCAAGCTGTAGTCTTCGATAAGCTTCCCGAGGCTCTCGGACAACCGTCTAAATTTTTTGTTCCAGTTGGAACCGGACTCGAGTTCCCCGAGAAGATAGTGCGGGTCCGGATCGAGGTAGTTTTCGATGGCCTTCCTAGCCGATTTGCTAAGAAGGTCCATCTTACTCAGGACGTTTACATGTGGGAGCTCGAGGTTGACCATGACAGCAAGTGCGGCCATTGTGCCGGATAAAAATTTAGCACCGTCAACCATGAACTGCGCGTCGACTAAAAAGACAGCGCAAACGTGGAAGTTCCAGTTTTGCAGCATACGGCATAGCTGGCTCATCGTCGTCATGTGCGAAAAAAGCTCGATTTGGCCAGGACAGTCGAACAGTATATAGTCGTCGTCATCCTCGCCAAGTTTCTCCTTGAAACAAATCGAAAATTTTTATATATTTCAATATAGAAACCAAAATGGCCTACCTTGAGCCATTCTGCGTTCTCGACGAGGTACTCCATGCAGAATATGAGCCCGCCGTTGGGGCCGAATTTCAGGTCTTCGTCTTCCATCGCATCGTCCAGATGGATGAGCTCTCTGACATCTGCGAGCGGTTCGTAATCGAAATATTCAGCAGCCGGGTCTAAATTGACAACTTCTAGCAATTTGTTACACGATGCGGCATGCTGTACCGCTGCAGAACAATAAGTCGATTTACCGCTACCGGCCGGGCCAATTACCAATTGTGCGTATCTCATTTTTAATAGCAGATATCAATATAAACTTTAATTATAAGTTCAAAATCAGTTTCGCAAAGCAACCAAACAGTTGTAAACACACTGACAACGACGGGTTTCTGACGGAAACTTTCTGCAACTTGTTGTCTGGTGACAGCCAACTGACAGCGCTCGCCGCTTAAACATTGGAAAGTGTGAACTAATGAGTGATGATGATGGGCGAGCCTAAGAACTAAACAGGGGACATTAAAAAAAATGAAATACAAGAAAAAGTAAAATTTTAAAATGATTTTTCTTCGTAAAACACTATTTACAATTAGTCTTATAAAATATATAACATTCCCAAAGTCAATTCCAATTTTCTCAAATGTTTCTTAACACCAACATTTTTTGTATTTTACTTTTAGCATGATTGTTACAATTATACTGTTCTGTTTTTCTTTTCTTTTTTTTTCAAGCATTCCATGTTGCTGAATATTCTGTGTTTTTTCCAATATGTATAATCTTTTAGAGGTTCTAACGCTCTCAAAAAACAAACAAGCACTTTTGCAGACTTCACCACACTGTTTCACTATATTCAATAAACTCAATGGGATTTCAGAAACATTCCTATTTAGAACTTAAGCATTACAGTCTGCTGAAAAACTAGCGATCCAATGATAACTGCATAATTTAATGAATTTCATATATCCTACATTGTACATTATCCTTGTCTTTGTTAGATGCTTCCATTTTGATAAATGTCCTGTGCTTTTTTCAAATGCCATATGGACCAATGTCCATAGGTTCTCATGGTCTGACAAACAAGCATAGGTTCACCCTGCAGACCATCATACTTCACTTTTTTTATAAACTTAATGGAACATCAGAAAAACGCAATTACCTTAAGTTTGAGTCCTTTTTTTCTGATGAAGACAACTGCATAATTTAATGAATTACAATTATACAGCTCAATCTGTTCTATATAACTAGTGAACCACAACCGCATAATTTAATGAATTTCATAAACTTGCACTAGACATTCTCCTTGTTTTTGTCAGAAGCTTTCATTTTGGTAAAGTTCCTGTGCTTTTTTCAAATGCACATATCCTTTTATAGTTTCTAATAGTCTAATAAAAAAAATAAATAAATAAATAATAATAAATAAATAGTCTGACAGACAAACAGGCATTGGTTCACATTGCAGACCAACGTAGATAACTATTTTTTAACTTGAAGGAACATCAGAAATATGCACTTATCAAGTTAGCAACCTTTTTTCTGATGAAGGCATGACAACTGCATAATTTAGTGAATTTCAATTATACCGCTCCATCTGCCCTCCATGACTTTATCAGAAGCTTCCATTTAGATAAATTTCTTGCGTTTTTTTCAAATGTACATGTCTTTTTATAGGTTTTTATAGTCTGAGAAACAAGAGTCGGTTCTCCCTGCAGACCACATACTTCACTACAAGGCAACTGCATAATTTAATGAATTTCAATTATATTGCTCAATCTGTTCTCCATGACTTTGTCAGAAGGTTTTCATTTTGCTAAATTTCGTGTGCTTTTGTTGAATATATGTCCTTTTATAGATTCTAATGATCCGACAGCCAAAAAAGCAGACTGCGTTCTTGCAAACCTCACCACATTGTTTCATTATTTTTAATAAGATGGGACTTCAGAAACATACTTATTTTAAGCTTAGCTTAAGCATTACATTTTGCTAAATAGGTGGTGATCCAACAATAACCACATAATTTAACGAATTTCAATTATACTGTCCCGCCGATTCTACATGTTTTTGTCAGAAGCTTTGCATTTTCCTATCTTTCAAGTGCTTTTTTTTTTAATGTATACGTCCTTTTAAAGGTTCTAATGGTCTGACAGACAAATAAGCATAGGTTCACCCTTTAAACTTTACCACAATGTTTTACTTTTTTGTATGAACTTGAGAAAAACATACTTAAGAGCTTTGCAACATTATTTCTGGTTATTACACCATCAATGCATAATTTAATGGATTTCAGTTATTCTTCTATTCTCTTTGTCTTTGTTGGAAGCATTCCATTTTTATAAATTTCTTGTGCTTTATTCCAAAATGAATTTCTTTTTATAGACTAGAATGGTCTGACCGACAAACAAACAGAATAAGTTGGGATAAAAGAGTTGAAAATTTTTATGTAGGCAAATCTGACAGCTTGCCAACACAGTAGGGAACAAAGACACGTTTCAAAAACCTGGAGGGTATATAAATGTGATTGGCAAATGGTCTCAATGAATAACAAAAGACAAAAAGTTATTTATTGAGGGAAAGTTATCGCATAACTTTGTGAATAGGGCTCATCAGGCTGAGGGTCACCATAAATTTGGACTTTTTTCTCCCAGGAGTAGGAATCTCAGCCTGCACAGGTTTTCACACCAACAGAGGACATGTTCCACTGTCTCTTCTTCTTCCTGGCAATATCTGCACAGGCTTATTTCCACAACTCTGAGTCTATACTCATGCCTCCTGCAGTGTCCAATGTAACTATTAATATAGTCCTAATATATTCTAGATTTAGTAGTTCTGCTTTTAGTTCCTGTGATGATCCTTTGAGGACTTTTTTTGCTTATCTTTATCCTGTGCCACATTCACATTGAACAGAGGACTTATATTTAATCTATTGTCTAATGGATCCACGTTTTTGGAGTTTGGTATGCCATAAAAAAGGTTCAAAGGCAATAGGTGTCCTCACCGAACTTTCCTTGGCTAATTTACCAACTTCTTTGTTGCCCCTCTGCCCTGTGTGACCAGGTACTCAGACAAGGATAAGTTTGTTGTTTTCTTGACTTTACCATCGATGTGGTAATTGCCCTCAGTGCCTCCTGGGAGTCTGATAGATGGTTATTCTTCTGTTAATAAGCTGTTTAATTTCCTGGGCACAGTGTTCAATAAGACACAGACTCCTATTGAAAGACAGTACTACAGTAGCATATTGCCCAAGGCTTACATGAATTCTAGTCCTGGTTTATTTCCATAAATACCATCTGCTGACCAGATATTGTCGGCATTAACTGAAATTCCTTTTTTCCAGTCTGCTCTACCAGGTATTTTAATTTGAAATGTTTTATCAAATCTGGATTTAGGGGAGATGGCATCAACATGCATCCCCAGAACTACCCTGTCTGCTTGAAGGTCCCCCCAAAGCTTTATTTGTTCCTAGTTAAAACAAGTAGGCTATTTGGAGCCTCCCAGGATTATCCTATGAATTGTTGCTCTGGCCTCGCTGGATAAAGATATGTAGATTCAAAAGGACTTCTAGGGCATTATAGTGTCAGGAAAAGATTTGGGGTTAAAATCCTGGGGGGGGGTTAAAAATGTGATTTAGACAGATCACCGACCATTAGAACTAACTAGATCCAAGGATGTAAAAAAAATCCTAGAAATAGACAACTTCAACATATTCTAGCAGCACCCCTGGCAATTTAAGAAAGCTGAAAGAAAACAAAAACTCCAGAAGAAATGATAAATGGTACGAAAATTAAGTTGAAAGAATTTAAATAGAAAATTTAATGGTTGTAATGTCTGACTATTTTAGAACCTAGAAAGAAATTAGGTACCAATATTATATTACTAAACAAAATTTCAAACAATCTTTTAAGTATTAGTTAGTAATTTATTGTTTTAAAAATATTATTTTAATTATGTCTAAGCTTGTCACCTAGTAGTCCTAAAATATTTTTTAGTGGTATATTCAATAGAAAATCGTTTTGATACAGTGATATAAATAAACTCTGAGAGAAGCCTAATTTGATTATTACATATTTATTGCAGGATTTAAAAAAAAATTGTGAATTTAATAGATAAAATTAAAAATTTTATAGAGTCCTTTCCTGAGTACCGGTTACTTTATTTAAATAAATCAATATTTACATTTGTGGAGTTTATTGAATATTTAAATAGAAGGAATTTTTTTTTTTTTTTTTTTTTTCTAGTACCAGCTAATTTTAGCGTCAATGGGGCACCTGGCCGTCTCCTGGCAAACAAGACAGCAGTGGTTTTAGAAGGGGATATCTTAAATCCGGTTTGGTTTAACCATTTATATACTGAGTTTAGAGCTTCTTGTAGCATGTCTTGTAGCATGAGATGGTTTTTTCCGTTTATGTAGATGATTATATCGTCAGCATATAGCATTGCGCGAACGGGCAGTTGAACTTTTTCAATCATTTTATTTAAGCTAATACAGAAAAGTAGCGCGCTTAGTACACATCCCTGTGGGACACCATTTTCTTGCACAAAGTTGTCTGACANGTCGAGGTTTTCTAGAGACACCGTTTGTTTATATAATTTCCAATCGGCTTTGTTTATTTTCCAAGAGTCTGGCTTTAGGTATGGGGTATGATTGTGTACAGCGGTTATTAGTATTGGGAAATGATCACTACCATGTGAATCTTCTAAGACTTTCCATGTTAAGGATGGGTGTAAAGTCGGGCTTATTAGGCTTAAATCAATAGCAGATAGTTGTCCCGATCTTGTACAGAAACGAGTAGGTGAACCGTCATTTAAGATGTTTATATTGTGCCTATCCATGTACGCTTCAATTAGCTTGCCTTTATTACTGGTAGAGTCACTGGCTCATATGGGGTTGTGCGCGTTCAAGTCTCCTAGTTCTAAGAAGGGCCTGGGTAGTTGTTTAAGGGTATTGTGCATCACTTCCATATCTATATTCTGACTTGGCGGTAGGTATAGGGAGCAGATGGTAAAATGTGGGTTTGATAGAACTCTAATAGCTACAATTTGTAGCTCGGAATTAAGGGTAAGGGACTTAAGGGGGTATGGGACGGAGAGGTATGTAAGGGACTCCTTGTTTAACCATTAGCACTACACCTCCGCATGCTATCTGACCATCTATGTGGTCTTTTCTGTATGTTATGAAGTTTCGGAATTCAATGTTGTATGTAGGCTTGAGGTTAGTTTCTTGAAGACAGCAAATCGAACAATTTAATTTACTCATCAGATAGTTTAATTCGTTTCTACGATAAAACAAGCCGCTCAGGTTCCATTGTAAGATATTCATAAGGGGGCAAAAGGGAAACTATATGTTACTTGAGACCATGGAATTAGGTTTTGTTTTCTGTGTTTTAATTTTTTTTATTATTATAATTTTTTTATATTTTTTTTAATTTATTTATTTATTTATTTTAGTTT